ATGATGATGATGATTATGATGATGAAGATGAATATGATGGTGATAATGATGATGTTGATGTTGTTGATTGTGATGATGATAATGATGGTGCTGATGATGATGATGATGATGATCGTGATTCGGATGATGATGATGATGATGACGATGATGAACATGATGATGATGATGACGATGACGATGGTGATGATGCTTTTGATGATAATGATAATGATGTTGATGTAGATTATGAATTTTATTTTTATGATGAAGATGATGAAAATGATGATGATGATGATGCGGATGATGACGATGATGATGATGTTGATGATATTGATAAAGATGTCGATGATGTTGACGATGATGATGATGATGTATCGGATGTTGATGATGATGATGATGAGGATGCTGATGATTTTGATGATATTGATGATGATCATGAGGCTGATAATGATGATGATGATGATGATCATGATGATGATGATGATTTTGAAGATGATCATGATCATGATCATGATGATAATGATGATGATGATGATGATGATGATGATGTTGATGATGATGACGATGATGTCGATGATGATAATGATGATGATGCTGATGTCGATGATGATTATTATGATGATTCGGATGATGATGATTTTGATGAAGATGATGATGATGATGATGATGATGATGATGATGATTCGGATGATGGTGATGATAATTCGGATAATGAAGGTGATGATGATGCTGGTGATGACGATAATGATTCGGATAATGATGATGTTGATGATGATAATGATTTTGATGATAATGATGATGGTGCTGGTGTCGATGATGATTATTATTATGATGATGATGATGATGATGATGATGATAATGATGATGATAATGATGATGATGTTGATTCGGGAAATGACGATGATGTTAAGGATGATGATGATGATTTTGAGGATGATGATGATGCTGATGATAATGTTGATGATGACGATGATGATGATGATGATTCAGATGAAGACGATGATGATGATCATGACGATCATGATGATCAAGATGATGATGTTGATGATCATGATTACGAGGATGGTGATGATTCGGATTATGATGATGGTGACTTTGATAATGCTGATGATTATGATTCGCATGATAATGATGGTGATGATGTTGATGATGATGATGATGATGATGATAATGATGATTCGGGCGAGGATGTCGTTTATTCGAATATTGCGGATGAACATAATGATGATGTTCATGATGATGTTCACGATCATGATAATGATGATGATCATTCGGATGATTATGATATTGATGATGACGATGATGATGATGAGGACTCGGATGACTATGATGATGATGATGATGATGATGATGATGATAATGATGATGATGATTATGATGATGATGATTCGGATGATGATGATGATGATGATGATGATGATGAAGAAGATGATGATCAGGATGATGATGATATTCGGATGTTGATGATGGTAATGATAATGACGTTGATGACGATGATGACGATCACGAAGAAGATGATGATGATGTTGATGATGCTGGTGATTATGATTCGCATGATGAAGATGATGATGATTATGATGGCGATGATGATGGTGATGACGATGATGAAGTTGATGATTCGGATGACGATTCCAATGTTGTCGATGATGATCAGGATGATGATGTTGGTGAAGTTGATGATGTTGATGATCTCGTTGATGTTGATGTTGATGATTAGGTTGATGATGATGATGACGATGGTGATGATGATGATGATGATTCAGATGATGTTGATGATTATGATGACTGTGATTATGATGATGATGTTGATTAGGATAACGATGATGATGATGAAGATAATCATGGAGATGATGAAGATGATTACTTTTCAGATGATGATGATGATAATAAGGAATTTTCGGATGATGATAATGACGAATATGATGTTGCTGTTGATGATGATGATCCGGATAAAGACGATAATGATGAGGATGATGATGATGCTGATGATGATGATGATAATGATGATGATGATGATGATGATGATGATGCTTCGGATGATGATGATTCGGATGATGATGATGATGATGATGATGATTCGG